ACTGAGCGATTCTGTGATTCTGTGATTCTGTCTTCTCACTTGCTATAAATTTTCACAGCATGGACAACGTTTACATATATAAGCACATAATATATAACAAAACACACAAAATTTTTAAAAAGGAAAAAGAGTATAAACTTTTCAAAGTTCTGAACATCTGCCTTTTTGGATTTCAGGGGTGATTGCTTTGAACTTCTGGACATTATAATCCGTAATCATCCTAAAAGATATGTTGACATCATACACACATAAAGGCATCAGAGGTGATGGCATGCTTCAGAGAAGAATTTTCTGAAAAGTGCCATTAGATTGGTAGTAAATGGACTGGAACAAGTAACTTGTAACAAGTAATGTATTTTTTTAAAAATTCTATCTTCTAGATGGCTAGATATGGAATTGGCTAGAGAAATTTCTGCAAGTAAATTGAAGTCTCCTTCTGCCTGGGTTCCAAGAGAGTCCAGCTAAATGCTAAATAGTCTGCTGAGCAAAATAGCGAGGCACCTGAGAGGAAACCAAGATGCCAAGGGATGAATATACCAAAAACTTTTTAATGTCAGATATAACAGGGTCATTTTCATTCACCACACTAATTACCTATAGAATGTAAATCAGAAACCACAGTCTTTTATTTCTTCCCTGTATTCTCTATTTTTATTTCACTATCTGATCAGGAGATACCTGAATAGGCTCTTGAGGGCATTGCATTCTCTCCGTGTTCTTCACCAAGATATTACTTTTGGCAGGTTATTTCTTTTCTCCTCTTTCTTTGTTTGCTATGCCTATGCAGTAAGTCTTTATAATTCTCTTGACTATGTTCTGAGCCATTTATTTTCCTCTTACCTCTCCCTGTCTTTTCTTACCTTTTCCTCTGTTCTACCTTAGTCTCTCTTTTGTCTTGTGTCTCCTCCATTGTTTTGAGTGAAAAGCAACTTCACTTAGGTCCCTTCTAACCCAAAGCTTTCTATGATTCTATGCTTTATTTTCTTTTTCTTCTGTTTGGAGAATGCTTGGAAGCTGTGAAACTCCTTTCTCAATCCCTTTATTCTGTTTGTATCCTTGATCTATTTTTTATCTAATGTTCTTAGTGTACTAGGGGTTAGGAATTTTTTATGCTTGTCTTGCATCTTGCATAAGTGTTTTTTTTCTCTGCTATCCAAAAATGTTCCACATTTTCAGTAGCTCCAAGTCTTCCTACCTTGTAGAGCTTCTTTTCATGTCTTCAGTGATTGACATCATTCTTATTCTTTTCCTCATGTGTCTTTTCCATGCTTCTTGTTCAGCTGGTAAATTTTCACATGTGGAGTTTGGGTCTTGATGTTAGCTTTTCTGAGGAAACAGAAAGGAGAGAGAGGAGAGCATCATAGGCCAGATATCACAGAATCACAGAATAGCAGAACGTTAGGGATTGGAAGGGACCTTAAAAGATCATCTAGTCCAATCCCCCTGCCGGAGCAGGAACACCTAGATGAGGTTGCTCAGGAAGGCGTCCAGGCGGGTTTTGAATGTCTCCAGAGAAGGAGACTCCACAACCTCTCTGGGCAGCCTGTGCCAGTGCTCTGTTATCCTCACTGAGAAGAAGTCTCTTCTCAAATTTAAGTGGAACCTCCTGTGTTCCAGCTTGTGTCCGTTACCCCTTGTCTTACCATTCTTTGTCACCGAGAAGAGCCTGGCTCCATCCTCGTGACACTCATCCTTTAAATATTTATGAACATGAATGAGGTCTCCCCTCAGTCTCCTCTTCTGCAATATCCTAGAGATGGCATAGGAAAGAGCTATATGGTGAGCAGAAGGTATTCCATGAAGTTGGTAGGACTAAGGATAAGGTTGCAGTTCAGTATTTCTTCATTATAAAGTGAGTGTAAAACTTCGGCTGACCCACTGCATCTTCTTCAGAATGTGTTAACATATAAGCAAGCTTGTAGTTTTCTATGTTTTAACACTTACTACAACACTGTACCTGTTATATGATGCTGTTCTGGCTTTGCTACATTCTATGCCAAAGCAGTTTTAGTGGCTGACTTCAATATAGATATTTCGTAGCTAGTGTGAAAAAGGTTGCTGTAGTGGTATGGTTTCATTTGATATTTTATGAAGTCACTTGAACTACAGTTCAGTGTAATTAAATGTTACTTGGACTAGTGTATAGTATGATGTATTTGATACCACTTCTGTCTCCAAGATTTTAAAAGTCTTGTTAAACTTTTTGGCTAACTTTCTCATTATCTCAAAAAAAATCTCTTTTGTCCTCATTTGGATTAGCTGAAAGGAAATAAAGCAAACTAGTTTCTAATTTGTCAGTCGTTTTAGGCTCCTTTTGGTAGGCTATGAAGTGTTCCTGCACTATAGTTATCCAAGTGCCAAAATATTGTGACATCCTGGAGAAGATCTATTCTTATGACCAGGGCATATTGGGAAGATCCACTTGAGAGTAATCAAGACAAATTTAAAATATCTCAGGGGTTTATGGAAGTCCTTAAAATAAAGTCTTCCTGAAACAGTCTGTACTGGTTAAAGTTACTTACTTAACGATCTACAATATATTTAAAACAACTTAAATTACTTCTTTGCAGATATTAATTACAGAAGCACAAATTTAAAGAATGCTAAATGGCGTAATTGGATTATGGTAGAAATGTTTCTCAAAAAATTTAAAATATTTAGAAGTTATATTGAGAATAAAGGCAGCATTTCAGAATCTCAAGAATATTGATAGAAAGCAGTAAAATCTTCACTTGGTTCTATCAGAAAATTCAGTAGTTCACTGATTGTACGAACATATGGTTTTGTATAGCACCTAAAAGTGTTTGTTAAAAACTCACTTCTGGTGAAGATATGGAATTTTATATTTATGCAATCAGAGTTCGATGTAGGATGTTGCTCTGAGATAGAGTGCATCTGATTTCTAAGACTCTCTCAGAGATGTCAGGTAAGGTGAGATGTAATCAATTTTGCATTTTCTACTGCAGGGCAATCTATGTCACCACTTCTGATATGCAGTGATATGATCTTCAGAAATATATTTTGTCTAACACAGTGTGCCTTTCATATAATATCACTGAGCTGATCAATCAAATGGTGAGAGATATTTATTAAACATGCTTGTAATTCAAGCTAATAATGTTCTGGCCATTTTGAGAAAGATACATTTGGTGAATAGCAGTTCCGCAGTGCTCAAATACAGGATGTGCTTTGTATATTTATTTAGCTATTTAACACTACCAAACAGAGGAAAGCTATAGAGGATAAACCCATCATCTGAATTTGACCATAAAATATTCTGAATGTAACTGTATGTTTTAAAAAAAAAACACCCAAACCCTTCTGTTCTTTAGATCTAAAACAAATTAATGGAAGCAACTAGAAATAGGTGATTTGATTCTTGTAAGTGTTTTGATTCTTTACACAACTTGTGGTTGTTTGATATTGGTTGCTTTTAGAAGAGACAGAATAGCTTTACTTAGAAGTACGGTTTAAAAACATAAAGTGCTAAAATCAGCTCTGATGAAAATGACAGTGATTACTTTCAAACCAAAAAAATTTCAAGATATGTGAGAAACATTTGAAACCATGCCTGGCAAACTGTGCCAATCATTTGAGAATGATCATACCGAAGTATGTTAATTTTGCAACTGTGTTCTTCAAATATTTTAATTAGCTTTTAAATGCACCGAATTTTTTTAATCTTTAAACTGAACATTTGCCAGCAGCAAATACATTGCAGATCTGCCACAGGAAAGGGGAGAGGAGAGCTTATATAGGTTTAGGGTATAGTTGTAGTAAAAAAGCAGTAAAGGCCAGCTATTTATTTGAGGTTTTATAGCTTCCGCTGTAATATTGGCATAAATTACGCATATTGTAGACCTATGGCATATGTTGCTTTTGAAAGAAAGACATTTGTACTTATTCAGTGAATTGAGGCCTCATGTTACTCCCTGCAGACCATGTCATACCCCTTTCCAACCTCTCAGGACCGATGACTTATCCAAACCAAACATCTGCTTTTCCATTCAGTGCAATTATTCAGTGTGCTGCTGGGGGCAGATGGTTGTTAATAGGCAGATCATTAATGTGGCAGGCCAATTTCTCTTTCTAGCCTTAGAAAGGTCACAAGGTGTTAAGTTCCCTCACTCCAGGCTGGTAAGAGGCATATCTTTCAATTCAGTTGGATTTTTGATGTATAACTGCAATTGAATTACTTGATACAATTACGGAAGAGATTTTCATTAAACCTTTTTCCCTTAAAAAGATAAATATTGTTTTTACAGTGTAAGAATGATGCAACCAAGAGATGGGTTAGTGTCAATTACACTGTAGCTGTCAGAAAGTTTGAATACTGAAATCTGGTGAGTGTGAATCCTAATCAGAAAGAAGTGAGGTTGCTTAGCTGCTGCTCTAACACAGACTCCAGCTATATGTGTCAATTTTCTGCAGAATTTAATTTAGTCCTAATGGTGAAGAAATGTCTCTATTCACACAGTCCTGTCAAGTCAAAATTTGGACAATCTAAATGAAGTAGACGAGGGCTTCAGTGAGAAGGGGCAGAGTGACATGCTGAAGAGATTTCACTTTCTTTTTCATTCATGCAGGTTATATTGAGGAAGCCTGTATTATTCCATGTCCCTCAGACTGCAAGCTCAGTGAGTGGTCCAACTGGTCTCGCTGTAGTAAATCCTGTGGGAGTGGGGTAAAGGTTCGGTCTAAATGGCTCCGTGAAAAACCTTATAATGGTGGAAGACCCTGTCCAAAGCTAGATCACGTCAATCAGGTAATTTGATTTCTATTTACATTAACGATATAGCTTTTTCCATACCTCGGATAAGCTGTATTGTTTGTTGAGGTAGAAAAATTATACAACATAAGGGGTAGATACATATAGAAGGAGGAGTATGCATTGACTTAGATTTCCTCAATTAGCATAGGATCTGCCTTCATTACTTCCTGCAGGAACTTAGCACATTATCTGAACTGCTGGTTGGAGACAATAACACATTCTTACATGCAGACTGTGAGGAGCACATTTCTGAAGATTTTCTCTCAGAACACGTGTCTCACTACAGATGCTCAAAGTGGTAAAATTCTTAGTGTCATTCCCCAGCCATCTTTGATCAGAAAGAAATTAGAACTTCTCAGACACTCCTACAGTGCCATCTTAGTGTCCCTTAGTGGGTTTTAGTCAAACTAGAGCTTGGCTTTCTGGGTACACTTGCCCTGACACTGCAGTTCCAGTGAAGAAGGCACTTCTGAAGTCAATCTCCCAATTGTCCCACTAACCAGACTTGATTTTCCAGTATAGAGCAGTCTGGCTGCACAGTCTGGATCCTCTTCAAGTGAAATTAAGCCAGAAAACATGATCCAAGAGCACACTGGGAGTGCTTTGATCACTAATGAGCATTAAGTCTTTGGGACCAAGTTTAGCACTAGTCCTAGTCAGGTCTCTGAAGCTTGTTTGCTCCTGTTTGCTTGGAGAATTTCAGAAAGGAAAACCTTCCTTGTCAATTAACGCTTACTCTTCAGAGTTGATTTATATTCATATTACTGTTGAATTTAATTTAGTCTGCAGAGGCATGTTAAACAGCCACACAGTCTTCTCTGTAAATATTCAAAGATTGAAAAAAAAAAGTGCTGTCAATTTACATTTGAATAAAAATGCATGTACTTAATATTATCCTATTGACATTTTGCTAGCACAGAGTGAAATGGCTTGTTGATCTAATTTTCTACTTTAGGGAATGTAATTAGTTCTAATTTAGAAAATAATAAGTGTTAAACTGCAGCTAATAAACTAAGCTTGTGATCTACTTTTACAAAATATAAACTAGAGTGAGGGTTGCTGGATTTGGGTCAGTCTGTAAATATGCTTTAAATTAGGAGGAATATGTTTCAATAGAAGCAAATTATAGTCTATACAGAAGTATTTTTCCTTTTTTAATATTCATGTAGTACATAATAGGTTTGTATTTTCCTGCTTCAAAGGTGATTTTGCTAGCGGTCTGTTAGCCACTTGTATGCAACATTATTGCCCTCTACTGGTGTTTTGACTCGAATTTAATTTGCTTTAATGTTACATGGTACTCTACAAATAGTAATAGATTATTCAAAATGTAATTATTGTAAAAATAAAATCGAAATATAATACTTTCATGAGACGGATGATAAGGTAGGAATATCAAAGAATATAGAGGCTCTATCTCTCAATTTTAAACATATTCACTGTCTATTCAGACACATGCAGGGAATACCCCTGCATTGCATTTTTGTGTCAGTTATTTAATCAAAATGCCATCCACCATTCATTCAGCTGGAAAAGTACTGACTCTTCAGAATATTTAGTTCAATTATTAAATAGAATTTGTTTTATTTATGTTCTTTTTACTTTGTTATGTAACATTCTTATTTTCATACATACAAAACATAATGGTTAGGCTGGGTCTTTCGTGCCCACAAGTGTGTGGAAGATGAGGTACAGTGTGGGTATGCTGTAGGCTGAGATCTAGGAATTATGAACTCCAGAGAGGGACTGCAATGTGTTGTCTAGTCACGGAAGAGAAGATGGGAAGGAGGATGCTGGCAGTCTGTTAGGATGTACATAAAAGGCTGTTGCAAAGAAGGAGGAAATAATCAATTTTCCATGGCCATCATGGATAGGATAAAAAGCAGTAGGCTTAGACTGCTGCAAGCAGATTTGGATTAAGCCTTGGGAAATCTTTCTAATGGTAAGGCTAGTAAAACATTGAAATAAAGTGCTTAAGATACGTATGACCATATTTTGGAGGGGGACTGAGCACAGTGAATGCTAGATGTCTCATGGAGGTGTCTTTCCTCTGGGGCCATGCATGCCAGGGTGACTCCCAAACCACACTCTAACTGAGTGAAGCTTGCTCAGTACCCAATTTATTATAAAATCATGTCAGTGGTCTTCAGAGGATTTCAATTGAAGAGGCTGATCTGAGACTGTTAAAGGGCTAAAAAATTAAAGAAAATATATTTTTTTGTGACTGGTGGTCATTTGTTGCAGGTTAACTGATAAATTCAACCTGTCAGCCCTCTTTTTCTACCCAAGCAATGTTGCTGAAAATAAATCAATGATGATATCTTAAATTGTCTAGAAATATTGTGCTGAATTGATACCCAGAATGAAATGTGAAGTTAGCTGATATAATTTTGAGGCAATGTGTTTTAAATAATCTATGCATAATTAAGAAACTCAGTTAAGGACTTAGGAACTTCAGAAGGATGAGAACTGCCAGTTTCTTTTATTCCCCTGCATCTATTGCACTTAATGCTGTCAGAACAATTTCAATTAATAGAGAAGTTCAGTATCCTCTCCAAAACCATTGAGGATTTTCTCTTGTCTTAGGGAAACTGGATTCCCTACTGTGAGTTGATGCTCATTATAGGCAAAAAGGGAAAACAGTTTTATCGTGTGCTAGGGACTGAGAAAGAGACTAGCTCAGTTATGGTCTCTTCTCACTACTTGTGATTTATAAACTTTAATTTTCTTCCAAGAGCAAACCTCTTGGAAAAATGTCTCATGACAGCAAAGGAGATCTAAGAGAAAAAAATGGAGTCCTTTTGCTTGGCAGAAGTCATAGACTATTGTTTATAATAAAAGATAAATGAATGCCATTTAAATACCTATGCTGCACTCTAATTTCTTTTTATCTTTGCTTTTTATTTTGGGTTCATGAAAATACTTTCTTCAGGCTCAGGTAAGAGTTTCTAAAATAGAAAGATAACATGTGCTTCCTGATTGTGCTCCAATGCTTGCATTGTCTGACCTTTTTTTGTAATGTATGTTTGAGAAAATATATGTAACACTGTATAAATTACTATGCAATATACTATTTCAAATCTGTATTCAAATCTAAACATAATATTGATGCTGGTACATGAATATATTAGAGTAATTAAAAGCATCCATAATGAAAAATAAAGTGAACCATCATATATGATATAATTTACCTTGAGCTCACGTCTTTTCAGAAATACAAAAACCCTACAACTTGAAACAGTGGGATGGAATAGTTGAGGAGAGATTTGAAGGATAGAAGTAAAGTTTTAGCAGCATTTTTCTAAAAGTTATACTCGTGAGGTAGCCTAGTTACAGATTTTATGTTAGTTGTGTCGATGTTATTGGTGGAAATGGCATAGCATTAGCTTAGTGATAAAGAAACCTAGGGAATCTGTCATTAGATGCCTTAGCCTCTGACTTTTTATTATTTCTATCATTCTGTAGTTTCTATATTCTATAGTTTTTTTAGTCTATGAAGTGTGTTATCTATCTATTAGAGTCTATAACTACAGACTCTAAATCAGCAAATTTTCATTTGTTATTCTTACCAAAAGGAGTGTTAACCTATTTTGAACGATCACTGTTATATGTGTGTCTTTCTTGTGTGCAACAAAATTGATGCATGATGTGGATTCCAGGTCTATGAGGTAGTTCCCTGCCACAGTGACTGCAGTCAGTACGTATGGGTTACCGAGCCCTGGAGCGTCTGCAAGGTGACCAATGTTGACTTAAAAGAGAACTGTGGAGAAGGTGTTCAAACGAGGAAAGTCAGGTAAAACAGTATTGCTTTACCTTCACTTTAGAGAACCTTCACTTTCAGTCATGGCTGTATTTAATTTGATATAATTCTGTGCAATATATATTGTTAAGTCCAGCCATAGTTTACTGGACCAGAACCCTGGCTGATGGAAATCAAGAGTAGCTTCAGTGAGTGCAATATGGCTCTGTCTACTGTTTATGGATATAGACCTCAATTCCTAGTTTATAAACTAATGTATATTGTACTTATACCACTGCAAAGTACGATATTAGTGCTTTTCTGAAAGGTGAAATGGTCCTCCTTCTATAAGAAACTATGATTTAAAAAGAACCTTCTAAGTACACATGCACTTGGGATACTAGTTACACTTACTACCAGAAAAATTGTCAAAAGTGAATGAAGTGAAATAGTAAAATCCAGGAATCTTCTGTTGTTTATTGAACCTTTTCTAGGCATCTTGTACAACAGCAAGTAAAGCAGTACATGGAGTTTGGGTTGGTTGGGGTTTGTTTTCATTTTTATTTGCTGCCTGCAAAATGACACACTATTTGAGATTATAAATCTGAATAATAAAGCATAATGTGAATTAATTTTGAAGGTCCAAAATGAGAGCTTTATACAGTGAACTCCTAAATGTTCTCTTTTCCCTGCCACAAGTGTTTAGAAACCAGCACATTTACACATTTTTTTCAGGATGGTATGGTTTCCTGAGAGTAACTGTTTACTTCAAGAAGGTCAAAGTCTTAATCATTGCTTAACCAAAGTTAGAAACATAACTGTTCTCATATAGTAGCATCTAAAAAAATTCCCATAAGAATACTCTTTCAAAAACTCCAATATGAAAAATCAAAATCAGTGTATATGTTGAAAAATGGACTTTAACACTAGATTTAAAATTATCAGTTGAAGCACACACAAAATATGTCTAAACTGTAGATGATTTGCATTATTCTGTCTTAGAGATAAACTAATGTCAAGTGAATCACCTGTCTTGAAACTGAGACTGTCTAAAATCTGTGCATTTTTTATATGGCTGTCATCTGTAAAAACAGGGATTATTTTTGGCTCTTCAGCTTTTCTTGGATATTCATAGATCAGTATTGAGTTCTGTTACTTCAGTTACTCCATGGTTGTCATGTGCTGACAAAATGTTTCAGAATACTGTGAAACAGTTACTGTACAAAATTCAAGGCAAATGCAGTTTATGCGCAGTCCTTTTTTTCCAGGTGCATGCTTAACACTGTGGATGGTCCTTCTGACACTGTAGAGGACTATATGTGTGATCCTGAAGAGATGCCACTTGGTGCTAGAAAATGCACGTTACCATGTCCTGAGGACTGTGTTATGTCTGAATGGGGATCATGGTCACGATGTTCTTTGGTAAGAAGTATACTGAAATATAGCATTTATAGTTTTAGGAGGATACTTTAAAAATGTATACATGACAAATATATTGTGCAAAGATGCTAAATTGAGCAGTGATTACATGTGTAAATATTTATCTTTACTGTCATCTTTAGGATTGTTGATAGTTGGTTTCAAATAAAGTGTGCCACTATTTTCCGTTGAGTGAAATTGTCCCAAAACACAAAATATAACATCCCAAGTAGTCATTCTTCAGTGTGGGGTGAAATAGCTTTGTCAGTGGCTTCTGAGTCCATCTTTAAGCCTAGCTGTGAGCCTCTCCATAGTAGTGCAGTCAATAAAAATGTCACTATCCTGTAACAAGCAAAGTCTGTAGATCAAGACTGAGCATAAAAAGATAATTGTGGGTCTCCTCTCTCCTTCCTGCCAGAAACTTCAAAAAGAAATGTCAAAAATCCAAACTAGATACAAAAAAGTGTTTCAGGACCTCCGAGTATTTGGGCTCTGGTGCACTGCATTATAGCATTTGGAAAGTAAGCATCTTAATATCCAGTTTTTAAGTGACATATTTCCAAAGTACTAGTGCTGAAATATGAACCAGTTGTGAAAGTACTGAGGTGTTACCAGGTTAGAGGATATTCCACCTTAAGTGGTACCAAGGTGAAATAGCAGACTAAATTATCTCTGAAATAACAAGGAAATGGTTTCCCCTACACAACAGCATGAACCTGTTACTTTACATTTGTGTTTTGTGAGGGAATTACTTGAAAGGTGGTTATAGTGTTGCATGAAAAGGTGCTGAAATATCAAAGCTGTTTCCAATGTCCCTTTCAAGCCGTGCAATGGAACTAGTGTCCGTGAAAGGTCAGCCGAATCCCTGAGACAACCAGATGATGGAAAGTCTTGCCCTGCTGCGACCGAGACAGAAGCCTGCACTTTGAACAAGAACTGCTACCACTATGACTACAACGTGACAGGTATTTGTGGTGCTGTGCTCTAGCCTGGGAATATGGCTTACTTCCATTCACTTTACAGCACAGATTTTTCAGCTTTCTGTTCTTACCTGGAGGGAGCTATGAAGCTTGTACTGAAAACTGATTCAGGGTATTTGATCTGGATTGAATACTACTGGAGAGTTTGCAACTTGGGTGAAGTGTGCATGCTGTAACTCCAGGAAATTAATTTGTCCTATAATTTTGTGATTTGCTCAAAATCCATGCTGACAAAACCAAACATGATCTTTTCAGGAGGGCACAATGGCACTGATTATCTGCAGTAAAAGTTGTTGTTTCTAAAACTGTGTAGCTGGGCTCCATGAGCCTTTGCATGTGTAAAAGTTGCTTGTGAGGATTATTTTAGGCCATCAGAATTAGAGTTAAGTTGGAGATTAGATCATTATGAGTTTCATCTGAATAGTCTTCTAGGCTAATGAATTTCTTTTTTCCAGACTGGAGCACATGTCAGCTCAGTGAGAAGGCTGTCTGCGGTAATGGTATCAAAACACGGATGCTTGATTGTGTTCGCAGTGACGGCAAATCGGTTGACCTGAAGTACTGTGAAGAGGTGAGTGGGTACCTGTGAGTAAGCTTCCTTCTAATGGTGCTAATTAATGCTGAGCCAATTGAGCTATACGGCGTGTAACCCATCTTCACCAGATGTTTTGCAACACTATTCAGGGATTGTTAAGTACCTCTGACATGAACTGTGCCATCAACAGTGATTTTTATTCAATTTCCTTCAGTTACTTTTAAGTGCCTTCGTGAACGTATGCTAATTATTGTGTCCTGAAGGAAATGGCTTAGAAACAATAATTAATAAAGTAGAATAAAGGTAATAAATCTTAATCAGAATGCTAATCATCATTCTAATTTGATACAATTTCTGCATGGAGTCTTGGACAGCTGCCAGTATCAATCATTTACTCAATGTGTTGGAAAATATTTCTCACGTGCATTCTGCAGCTGGGCTGAATGCTAGCTTCTTGTATCCAGCTGTGCAATGCAAAAGATACCCAAGCCAACATGAAAAAATGTACAGCATGAATGCAGTATTAAATAGGAGCATATATCGAGAACTAACCAGCACGGGAGCCATTGAATTTTGAAAGAGCCATTTTAAAAAGGTTCAAACTAACTTCAAATTTTACACCACTTTTTCTGACATTTTGTGTGGGGGTCTTAATGTTTTCGATTGCATAGAGATAGTAATGTGAAGGAAAATGGGAAGGCAATGCAGGTGTTACATTAGGGGCAATCCTCTATGTGTTTCTGATGGAAAATAACTGAACTTGTTTAGGCTGCCGTTCACCCACCGCCTTGACATCAAAACCAAAACCACTTGCGATGGTGGACTAGAGTGGAGTGGCCCTCAGCAGCTGTGGTACCAACACCTTTTCTGTTGGACCTTCCTGGCTAGTAGCTGCTGTTCAGGACATGCCCATAGAGATTTCATCAGAAATGGAGTGTCAGGATACTCATCATGTACTTTGGACTATAGTTTTGTAATGGCATATCTGACCTACTTAGGCTTCTCCAACCCACTCAGAAATTCTGGATTCTTGAATCTATAAGTTCTTAGCAAAGGCAGGAAGTTTCAGCTGAGGCAGGCACCCTACTTTTGTCCCAAGTTTCTCCTTCACACATAGCTCTTGGGATTATAATCGAACCTAATAATTTATCATTTGTATCTCAGGAAAAAACTCAGTTTCTGGCTACCTACCAGAAAGTTTCTGTGAAGTTAATAGGGGACAGAATTAATGTATTATATTAATATTTTAATGCAATGCGTTGAAAGAAAAATAAAAAAGTCTCTTGGGTTATTCGTAAGAGACTACAATGTTGGTTGATTAATTCATAGCAAGACATAAAATATCCATCCACATGAATATTTCAATAGAAAACAAATGTTTTATTGGATTTTAAAGGGAAATACTTCTTTTACCATGAAGTCACTTAGTTATTCCTGTTGTTAACCAAAGATTTTGTGCAGCATTTAGAACAAATGATTACATTTTACACTGAAATCTCATTGCAGAAAACCTCTGGAGCTTTCCTGCTTTTAAGAATTAAAGTTTATTACTCAGAGAAATAATTAGGACAAAAAGATGATATCTCAAAAGCTAGTTGTTGTAAATGGCTGGCCAACAGACATAACTGCAGTCCAGTCCTGACATTATCAACAACCACTGTGATTCAGTTGTATTTGCCCTTTTGATTTGCTAGACCATATAGAGATGCTTCTATACTACTTTCTTCCTGTAGAAAGTTCTGATCCAGTCCTCAGTCATACTGTTAAGACTATTGAATTATGGATGTGTAAGCAGTGGTTCCAACAAGGTCAAAGGCTGATCCAATAACTGTGAGGAGTAAAACCTGTTAACCTGATTAAGAAAGCCAAGCTGTTCAGATCTTACCAAACCCTTCACTTTAAAGATGTGTAAGCCAACTTTGTGACCATCCAGGTTATGAGAGGAGAGTGTTCAAGAAATTATCAAAATGTGAATACGTACTGTGCACTTCTTACTAACCTAATCACAGATTATTTTTTTTCCTTTGTTTTTGCCTTGTAAGGACAGTGCAGGAAGATTAAGTGAATGTGATTATAGAAGTTGATGATAAGAAAAAGATGAAATAATTTTGTAATGACATAGCTAATGGAATTTCCCCTGGGCTATCATAAAACTTTATACTAGAGTAAAACTAAAGTTTTGTTTAATTCATGTGTAGATACATTTACAGAATTATGATTGTTTTTATTATATGCAAAGAAGAGAGATTAGTGTAGCTAAACCTACCCTAATCTCTAAGAAATGAAAATGCCTGATTGCTATGTCTGAGTTCCTATATAATACATGGTCCAAGAAATTAATGGAAGCCATATATAAAAAACTCTTCACACTGTGTTTTGACTATCACCATCTCCAGGTATGAGAGCATCAGCATAGTTAAATTCTAACATTTCTTCTGAGCCCCTGTGTTCTGGTTTCCTAATGCATCCATATGATCTTGTGTTTGCTTCAGTCAATCAGCTAAAGAAGCTAGCCAGTCATCCTGATTACTGCCAGGATAGATTAATTTCTAGAGCTTATTTCCAAGTCCTCATTACGTTAACATAGTTCTCTTCAAACTCTCAAGGCACAGTAATGCTGGATTACTTGGTCTCTAACTCTACAAAATTAGCACATCACAAGAACTTGGCTTGTCTTTTCCTTGAGTATTTGAAAATCAGATTACCTAGAGGAAGCTGGTCATGGTCATATTCATATTTATGAACTGGTGTTTATTCATTTGCCTTCAATTAAAGATCAGAAAAGCCGAGAAACCATCAGTTTTGTCTGCATTAGAAAGCAAACTTTTCTGTTTTATTGACAAATAGTATGTTTGTCAGACTATATGTTTAACCTCCAGCAAAGTTTAGTCTGTGGTGCCAAACATTCCTATAAACAAATACAGATACTTTTTGTGGATCACAGGGTTTATAGAGCGTGCTGATCTGGCAGCTTCCTGCCACTGGCGTGTGTGGCCAGGAGTACAGGGTGCTCAGTGGTAGCTTTCAGTGTAACCCCGCCAGGACTTGCTGTTCTCAAACCAGAAACCACAACTCATCCAGAACAGAGGCTCTTTCAGGTAAGGGAGCTCCTGAACACTTCTCAAAATGTTTTGTAAACTCTTCAAGGTGAATTGTGGTTCATAGTTGAAGGAAGGAGAGGGATGAGGAAAGGATATGTGATTAATATCAAATTGCAGACTGTCAATTGTTCGCCAAGTCTATTTCAGCATCACTTCAGTATGTAAAATATGCAAATAGCAGGTCACCATGGGTAATCTGGCCTTCAGCTTTCTCCTCTTCACCTTTAATACCTCTCTTGTGGTTTTCCTTCTCTGGCTGCCAAAGTCCAGCTAAGAAGGCCAGTCTTGAAAGAGAGGAGTCGTGTTTCTATAATTGGCAGGAATCAATTCAGCAGGATTTAAAGCCTTTGCTCAGAAGATTTGACCCGAGTATAGACTTCAAAGATGGTTCTCTAGTTTCCTAATTATCCAAATTCCAGATTATCCAAAGGTTTCAGGTGTTGTCTGTGTGCGATAACTGGATAATCAAGGTCATACTGTACCACAGAGAAAAGCTGAGAACTCTTTCTTTGATGTATAAAACAGAACAGAGGTCTAAAACCTCATTTGTCTCAATAAATGGTACTGAAATTGCAAATTTAAGATTTGAGAGTCTTTCAGTGTAAGACATTTCCTGTACTTGTGGTAGTTTATTTATGGAGCACATGTTAATGTGCCTAATTCTTGCTCTATGCTTGCATTTAGTAGGAAATAGTGTTTTTATTTCCTTTTTAAAGTCTTAACTGCTGGTTTTATGTCACTAACCTTTCCACTCATTAAAATTAATAGGTTCCAAAATGCCTAATTTGCTTTTTAAAAAAACAAATGAACAAACAAACAACTATGTGGGGATTTTATCTACTTAAAGATATCCACAACCTCCTCGTATTCTGAAAGGCCTCAACGATGACTGAGATCCACTGGTGGGGACAAATGAAGAGGACACTCTCTTATGCTGGGAAGCTGCAGATCTGTTCATATTGACAGGATTTTTTTTTCACATTTTATATCATATACACTATAATCAGTCTATCCTTTTAACTCATTCTGAAGCTGTAAAGACTGCAGGGATTATTATGGTCATGCTATTATTTCTGCCAGCAGTTGTATTCCATCTTGCATCATATTTTCTCATGTGTGTTAGTGAGAATAACTCTTTACTTCCTTGGATGGGGAAAATCTGGAGCATGGGAGTTTATAAGAGCATAAAAATGGCTTTGCAGGATTAGACCAAAGGACCACGTAGGCACTCTGCAGTCTCCAAGCACATCCATAGAACTCTTCCTTACCTGTAGGGGTTCCCTAATTTGTTAGTGTTAGGCTGATTCCTACCTGGAGAAGACCTCAGTACAGAATGTATTTTTAGGAAAACATGCGAGTCTGGCTATTTTCTGTGTCCCCTTCTCTCATACTTCTCCAGCATTTACAGCTTTTACTTTAGGGATCTTACAAGATTCTGCTTTTTACAAAACTTTTCAGAAAAACATGCAAAATTATATGTTTTTAGAACAAATCATTGCCAATGTCATGTCAATATTTTTGCATACAGTAGAATGGGTAGCGTAATATACATAATAACCTTACACAGTGCATTTGGGAAAAATCAAGAGGCTTAAAAGATGCCTAAGGAAAGGTAAGGAGGACAAACATATATGGTTTCCATCTGCTCCTTTCACAGCCTCCACCTGTTTTCAGCTCTTGGACTGCATTTGCCCAATGTGATTTCTGTGTGTTTAAACTTTCAGATTTCTCTTCCATTAACGTTCTTAGTCTCTCTTGAGCTCCTGTATACTTTTATCATCTGCAACATCTTCTGAAAAATAAACTGACTATCCAATGCCTGTTCATCCTCCTCCTTATGTTAGTTTTGAATCTGGCTCCTAGCATCACTTTAATTCAGCTGTTAATAGCTATTGATAGTTCAGTATTTTTATATTCCTATTTCAAAATACTTTATTGATACTTCATAAATTACTTTGTCCTTTACCTGTTGTATAAAGTAATACTGTAGACCTGAAGCCCTCCATTTATAGGGTCTAATTTAGAAAATAATTTATGAAAATAGGATTTAAACGTGTTTAAAAATCAGCATATGCACTAGAACTATCTTGAAGAGAAATTTTTATATGTCTTAATTGCTTTATTTGTTATTTAGTAATGACTTCATGCCTGCTTAAAGCTTTAGTTGTCTCTGATTCACCATGTCCAAATGCATACCCTGGACTAATGACACAGACTGGGTGTTACGTGCTGACTGCTGCGTATTTTCTTTTAGCTTGGTTTGGAGAAGACATGGCAAATGAATACGTCCTGTGTTGTGGAATGTCCTGTGAACTGTCAGCTCTCTGACTGGTCTCCTTGGTCTGAGTGCTCTCAAACATGTGGCCTTACAGGTTGGTATATACCTTTGGCATATTTTAAAGACTGAGCTTTAATATTTTTCTTCAATAAAAGCAATAACATCTCTTTTGGAATCCAATTGGACTCCGATTTTAACTGTTGGGCTCAGAATAAAAGGATATTGCATCTTTTTGAGTTCCTTGGAGAGAAAACGTCTAGGCATAAACAACAGAAAGCTTTGGTCACCTCTGGATCTCAACAGAAAGTCAGATGGATTTTTTTTAATGATAACAGTAATTTGATACTGCGGTATCTAATAATGTAATAATCTTTTAGTTCTTTGACCTTGTCTCAAACCATGACTTCTACATTCAATCAATCTACAATTCTGCATTCAAAATAACACTTATAGAGTGAGAATTGAACTAACAACTCTACTGAAGGCTTAAATATGGTGCCAGATTTTCCTCTACAAGCTTCTGTTTATATGCAAGACTTAAACAATTGACCTGATATTTTTCTGAATGAGAATTACTGTTGCTGTGTTTTTTCAAAATGTCAAGATGGGTCACTATCTGAAATCCCTGTGCTTTGCAGGTATAGAAATTTTTTAAAGAAGTGAGAAAATTTATTTTAAATAGTAATGTAAAACAGCCTTCAAAGTTGCAATGTTTTTAACAGAAGATGGCAGCCTCACATGTAAGCCTTGAAGCTGTAATTTTCCTATTAATCAGGAAATAACTGCTGTTTTTCAATAAGTAATAACTAGTAATCCCAGTGACCACAAAGCTGAACCACTTTTGTGTACCCATGCAGGTACCCATAAAGTTGAGAAAGAATTCTGTATGTAAGAATTCTGCTTGTTACTGTTTTTTGGGTTTATTTCTCCAGTAATTTTCAAGAAAATCTTTCTTCTCTCAGTTGGAGCGGCTGTGAAACCATAAATGATGAGACTCCACTTTGGCAAACATCGTTCTAGCTAGCCGCAGTGAACTCAGCTGCCTGGGAGACTGATATAGATCTGCTGCTGCATCGTGGCTTGTGTAGTTTGCTCTCAGTGAAAGTTGCACGTCACAGTCATTAGGGTGTTCAATTCCAAATGTATCAGATTGAAATGTGGAATTAAAGACAAATTATTTTGGCCAGCTGGGTGTTATGTAGGTAAATCTATGTAATGCCTTAGTTTATGATAAGCCTCAGTATACACATTTAAATATATACATCTTATTTCAGACTTTGTTCAAATATTCATCTATATATAGATTAAAATGTCACAGCTGTGTTGGTTTTGTGGAAACCTTTATGAGGTGCCAACTCTAGAGCAGCCACTTTGCCACTACTTCTGACACACAAAAACATTTTTGGTTATATCACATAACCTTTCTGTAATGAAGCACAATGGTCTAATGTCCACTGCAAGATGAAAGAAGCAAGAGCTGCTAAGAGGATAAAAATGTCTTTCTGTTTATATAAGTATTTGAAATAGAACCTGTATCTCAATAATGCTAGGTAGTATGCTACTCATGGTTGAAGAGAAGATTAATGTTGAATAATGTATTTTATTTTCTTTGGGCCTGAGTGAAGAATCCTCCATCTTCTGCAAAATCTGCAAGTCATATTATCCAGAGAGACAGTGAAGGAAAGTTGCAAGCTATTCCTGGTGGCTAGAATCAGACAATCATGGGACAAATGATTCTGTATTAACTCAGGGCAGAACAGAACATGTCGGTCTTTTCTACCGGCAAACTCCAGATAAGGAGCCAGAATCTCCGCTAAGTGCCATGAACTTATTGTCACGTTCAGGAAGGGTATTTTTCCCCAGGCTTCTGAACTAGGAAATTGCTCCTCTAACAGCAAGCAGAAGTAGTAATCTGAAATCATCATCAGATATCCTTCTGCACTTCTTGCAGTACAAACAAAAGATAGAATATAAAGTGTCTAACTTGGAAAACATGAATCTATGTAACAGACAAGTGCCAGCACATCTACTTTACAATCCAATTTTTCAACTGTGGAAAAAAATATTTTATTCAAACACAACACTTTTCACCAAAATAGAACCATCGTGAGGAATAAATCAGTCTAACCACTTTGTTGTTAGTTATATTGTTGTTTCTTATTTACAGGAAAAATGATCAGAAGAAGGAGCATAAATCAGCCGTTTCAGGGTGACGGGAGGCCTTGTCCTTCACAGATGGAGCAATTCAAACCCTGTCCAGTAAAACCTTGTTATCGATGGCAATACGGTCGATGGTCTGCATGTAAAGTAGAGGTAAAAGCTTTATGGGACTTTGAAGTTATGGAGCTTGTATATCTAGGCATATTTGTGATATGCTCAGATACCTGCTTCATGACACTGTAAACAATTTGCTTTCATCTCTCATACAAAAACTAAAGATTTATTCTTAGAGTTCATATTTGTCAACAGATACAACAATGTCCTACAGATATGCAAAGTATAAATGTAAACTTCGGTACTCAAGCAGCATTTTTGCTAATAATTGAAATCGTTCTATTGTAAAAGAATATCTGTGGAAATAGCTTGGCATTCTAGAAGAGATTTCCTCTTGAGAAACTGCTGTGGTCACAATTCAAAGGTATAATTAGCTCTATACTTTAAGAAACAGTGGCAACAGTCAGCTGAACGTTTTGACTTCTTTTTTGGTTTTATTTGTTTCTTTCAGAAGTAAAGATCAATGCCTTTTTAAAATTTTTTTTTCCCTACTGGAATGATTAAGTAGTTAAGCAAAAAAATAAGAGAAGGCAGAGTGACATGTAGCTTAGATCTAGTCTTTTGACACTTTCTTCTGTCCAGCATCCAAGTATGTCCTCCTTTCCTAGGATGCTCAATGTGGAGAGGGAACACGAGTGAGGAACATTTCCTGTGTGGTTTTTGATGGATCCACTGAAGATGTTGGCAAAGTAGTAGATGAGGAATTCTGTGGAGAAATAGAGCCTATTATAGATGGTAATAAGAAGATGATACTTGAGGAAACCTGTACTGTCCCTTGTCCAGGTAACAATGCTATTCAAATAAATGTTGCATTTCAAGATTGGTTTGGTATCATTACAGTTATCAGTGACTAGCATTAGCCACAGGCAATTAAGTCTTTTTCACAGGTTTTACTGATTGGATTAATTCGTCAAATAACCAATGGAGTTACTTTCTGGTAGAGGCTTCATGACAATAAATCAATTAGAAAAACTACCAGGTTGTAAATTTCATAAAAGACATGTCTCAGTCACAGATTGTACCTAAAATAATGTATTTTTTCATGAAATCTTTTGAAATAAAACCTGTGTTTAACTCTATAA